GAGCCGCGCCCCCCCCCCCCCCCCCCCCATAACCATGTGATGGAACTGTAGCGAAAGAGAACAATCAAACTTCTATCTATAATTGTGGAGTATAGGGTGTAGCGGAAAAATAAATTTTCTCAATATATATAACAGGTTATTGTAAGTTGAAATAGCAAGACAAAGGTCATCACTAACTAACACGTGGAACTTCTCCAAGTAGATGCACAAATAAAAGTATCTTACTTGTTCAAGTGTGTGTTGACCCAGATCAGTTGTTGATATCATCACTCCCGCAGCAAAGGAACCCAGTTCAAGACTCAGACCCAGTTTATCACTACACTGAAAATGACATACAATTATGTTATGTATCTACAATAATAGGCACAAATGCAAGTAGAGGCATATATGCGTCCCCACCAGGGGCAACATTCCAATAAAAAACTAAAGAAGGGTTGGGAGAGCATCAAACAAGTATAGAAACCAACTTGTCCTTTTTTTTTCCCCGACTTATCAACGTAAAAGTAAAATATAAAGACAACTGTTATCAAACACAAAAGAATCGGGAAATGGACAAACCCAAGCAACAAGCAAGCAGAATGCCACTGATGCCAGTTGATAGAGTTCATTAGTCTGAAAATAAATGAAAACAAAAATCAGCAAATATAACTTGAGGAAATGAATTATAACCTTAAACTGGGCGATCCAATACCTGAGACGATAGGCTTATCATGAGTTTAAGGAACCATGGTACACAAGTGCGAGATACTATTGACAAAATGGCCAAAAATGTAACCAAAACCACCAACCTGTGACAAACGCTCGTTAATCAAAACACTAATCTAATTTCCATATGAAAAACAAATAAAAAAAAGCAACTAAGTGTACTCCAACATGCCAAACTATCAACAGGTATGTCAAAGGCATCTTGACCATTGGTGATAACTCATCACCATCCTCATCTGTTCAGCATCCATTGACCATGAATGAGGATAATGTACAGCCGAAGCTACTAACTTTCCAGGTATCACGTCATATTATTATTAGCAAGAGAAAAATATATCAATTTCTAAAGTTACTTTATTGATATCACTACAAAACTAATATATGTTCAGCAATGACAGAGGACTTCACAGAGGACTTCACCGGATGAAGAATAACAGATCATAGACTGGATAGACAGAACCAGGCCTTTAAACAGCTTAGTCAAGCCAGCCTTGAAAATCAGAGTCCACTTACTTTTTATTCTGGTTATAAATATATAACATGACGAGAAAAAGACATTTGGCATAATTTGCTTATCCTGTCTAAGTAAGATGATTTTCATAATCTTACGATTTGGTCATGGACATCACTCCTTGAAGAACACCAGAAGTACCACCAAGAATTGGAAGCAAAGCAAACAGCAAGCCAACGGCACAATCCTGATACCACACAATAGTTTAAACTAGTGTAACATATGTGTGTATATAAGATTAAAAAAATCTACAAATAGAAAGATACTGATGTTTTTTATCTTAGCAAGTTATAATTATATATAGAGAAGTCAGAAAACAATATCTACCTGCAAAATAAGAGTACCGACAGTGACCTGACCATGAAGGGCATTAATGCTATTTCTTTCCATCAAGAATTTCAAAACCTACAGACAAAATGAAATAAGCACCAGTGAAGAAGGATTTTCTACAATTTTATACCTAGGAAATGCACATTAAGTGGAAAAAAATCTAAATGCACGTCAAAAGTTACATATCTATGACATTAGCCAGAGCTTTCACATTCTTTGAACCATCCTAAGGCAATGAAAGATGGACCAGACAACTACCAAGCTTGCAGAAAAAACACAACATCCGATGAATGTTTGCACTTTAAAACACGAGATCCTCACCAATGATAATTCACTCAATTCCCTCATTTATTAGAAGTATTACCAACAAAAGCGAAAAAGTCGCGCACAATCTGAAAATGTACGGGCATTTACATAAACTATTTCACCGTCATAACTCAGGACATGAATAAAAACACATAAATTTATTAGTCAAATGTACTCATTCACATAAAAAATGAAAAAATATATACATTGAAAAAAAAAAAGGCCATCAAGGAGACAGAGAAAACAAAAATATCAGATAAAACATAGTTACCACTGCAGTTGAAGACATAGATAGAAATGCTCCAACGAAGATCCCCTCGGAAGGTTTACCACCACATAACTGTAAAATGCATGCAGAACATAAAATGAACAGATGAAAAAGGTATAAACAATCACTAATAGTCTCTAGTCGCTACATTGCTGTGCAAACATCCAAAATATGTTTTGGGCAGTGGTTATTTTTGCTCCTGCCTTTTGAAGCAACATCTAAACCTTGATACAGGTCTGCTACCATATACAGTGGCAGTATAACGACCCTACTCAGGACCATTCTGAAACTCAAACTTAGCAGCATGAACTCTATTGAGGTTGAAGTGTTCATCAGAGCTTAAAAAGTTAAAAAAACAGCTAACCCAAACATACACTTAAAGATATTGATTCACAAATATGCAAACATACCGAGGCTGTTATCCCGCACAAGCACATAAACAGAAAAATCTGGAGTAGACCTCCTAGAACAGCTACTGCCCGGACTACACGAAGCTGCAACCATAACTTAAGGTTATCAATTACCAAGCCTCATCAATTGGCAAAAAATAAAAAGTAGAAAGTAGAATAGAAAATACAACTGCACAAACTAACCTTTGTAGCAGAGAACTCCAGGCCCAATGCAAAAAGCAGAAAGATAACACCAAACTGAGCAACTGTCTCAACCTTCATGCATAATTAATTTAAGACAATGGTAACATCAGTGAAAAACAAATAATGACCAGTGTAAAACATGGAACAAAAAATATAAAACACACACAACCAAGCTTCAAATTTGTTATAACGTCAGTCAAACTTGCACTAAGGATTCTCTAGTTCAAACAAAAAAAAAAAGAAAAGAAAAGAAGAAGAACAACCTTATTGGAACAAATGGAAAGATCATAAAGAATACACATCCACACAGTGACATATCATGCATGGTAGGAATAAAGACAACGTACTTGCACCATTTCACTGACAAAACTCAAGCCTCCAGGGCCAATGATGGAGCCTGCTAGCAGATATCCCGTAATAACCTAAAAATTTTAAACAGTAAGAAAGAAAAATTTTAGGCAGAAGAAGAAGAAAAAAAGAAAAAGGGAAAAAAAAAGACACATTTCCAAAAAGGAGATATCAAAGCAAAGATCAATGGTAGTGTTCTAACCGGTTGTCCAGCACAAGCGAACGCAATGCCACCACAAGTTGCAGAGACAATGACAACCACCAGGTCTGATATCAACCTGCAAAACAATAGTTTGAACAAGCTACATCAGCCAAGTTGCTGCTAGTTATGTACGATTGAGAAATCTAAAAATTGATCAAAAGTGCAACTTAACCTCGAGTCTAGTTGTAACACAGGAAACTTTGACTTGAGATTGGATATAATAAAGACATTGTCCTGAAGATAAATTTCTAGCACGTCAAGACTGAACAAACCCCAACATAAGTGATGAGTGATAAAAATTACTAGTGAACCACCATTTGGCAGTACTATCAATGGTAGAAGAAAAAAAGCTAATTAGCCAATATAAATTTCCTGTAAGACATAACAGGCATACCTTTCGATCTATTAACGTTGGCATATCCTCAGCTTGATTCTCATTATCCAAATTGAAAACATGATGAAACTGAAATGACCTAACATAAAGTTCACAAAGATTCAGCAGGCTTCCTCGTATTGATGATTAACTTACTTTAAAGGAACAGAGTAAGAACTATTATTCACTTCCACTTCTATTAAAAAGGAAAAACATAATCATTGGTTCAGAAGATAGACGCACGTACTTCTCCTCCTTAGTGTCATTTTTCTTGGGCTTAACTCTAGCAACAGTTTCCAAAACTGCCTGACAAACAAACATTTTCCATTTCCAAGTTAGAACATGAAATGGTTAAAGCAGATTATTGATGAATGGAAAAAATAAGGTGTCAAACTGGAAAAATATTTCAATCGCAGGTATTCATAAGTCCAAACCCCTAGAAAGAGAAAAAATGGTGTAGAAGTAAATGAAGAGGTCAATTTAAAGCAGGTTATCCATGTCACAGCAAAACCAACTAAGCAATTTTTGATTCAAGCTTTCCCTTAGTAACTAACATCCTCAGCTTTAGGAAGTATTCATGAGGTCGGAAAGAGTCAAGTCCAGATTAAATTTTCTTGTTTAAATAAGAAAAAGACATCATTTAGAGACCACCTCATTATAGTACTTAGCTGAGTTGACCAAGACACCATTGAAGCATTTGCAACCCTGAAAGTGAAACCTCATTCGCCTATCTTATCCGTTAAGGTAACATCTATTATATTTTACATTTTCATTTTTGTTGGCTCTTTATAAACCAAAATAACAAGATTGCGCAATGAGAAGTTTATATCATTGTTATTTAATTTTACATTTTCTACATTTTCCAACAAGAATAGTCTTAAATGGCGAACCTATTTTCAACTAACTAAATGAACTGTAAACATAATGTTTCTACACAAAACTGTCTAGTGTATCAAAATTAACTCCATCAAACATAAATAAGAATAGCAATTCTTAACTCCAGATTATATACTACAACACTGGTCAAGTAGTAAGATTAATGAATCCTAACATCAAGCATTTTAAACACATCCTTGGGATTCTCTGGGTTCATCCGAATCCAAAAGGCCAACATTTTGACAATAATAATTATTACTCAAAACCAACATTTTGATAATTCGTTTTTACTTGTTAGCACTAAACATTTCGCTTTCCTATACCCGCATGTGTTCCTCACGGGCATGAACCATAAGTAAGATATTGAGAAAGGAAAAATTAATGTTCGTTTCAAGAAATATGACTACCAACCTGCTGTCCGGCAACACTGTTGTTGAAGCTACCGGCGTCTGTGGCTGCAAGAGAACACAAAATTGGAGTAAATCCTCAACTCATTGATCTCAGAATTCCCCTAATGGACCAAAAGCAGTAAAACGAAGACGTAATTTCCAATTATTAGCCTAAATCAACCAAAAACTTTCTCTCTCTTATTCCACATTTTCCATAATCACCACATCGCAATCAACAAGTACTGCGATAACGCAATGCCGAACAACATAAGAAAATCCAAAACCCTGCTTCAACCATCCGGACCCCAGTCGAAACCCTAGAAAAACGCAAAAAGAGAAAATTTTCATTTCCGTTCTTTTCTCTACGAACCTTCATTCTGCTCGTTGTCGGGGAACTCCCTCTCGAGCGCGCGATCGAGCATGCCGGCGAAGCTGTCCTCGGTGGATCTCGAGCGCGTCGAGTTCGTCTCCACGGCGGCAGCATTGATCTCCGCCGCCGCCGAGTCAGAGTCGGCCGAATCGGCGGCCGCGAAGAGTGGAAACGCGAGAGAAGGAAGGACGCAGAAGCAGAGAAAGAGAACCGCCTTAATCGACAGAGATCGGACCCTCATTGCAGAGGAGAGAGAGAGAGAGAAAGAGGGTTTGGGATGGAGAGAGAGAAAGAGGGTTTGGTATGGTGAGAGAGAAGGTTGCGCAGAGTGACGCCCGGCGCAAGTTAGCGTGGCGAGCACCGTCGTCGTCCTCTGGATTTGCGGGTGTTTTTTTTTTTTTTAGCTTTTTTGTGACGGAACGAGAGGGAAAGTGTGTGTGCCTTTTTTTTTTTTTTTTTCAGCTGCGGGGAATTGGTGGTAAAAGTACGAAATTATCCTTGAAAGAAAGTAATTAATAATACTGTGCGGATTTGTGACAGGTTCTAAGAAATCTAAAAGCGAGTGTGAGAAGTGCCTACGCGCGCGTCTGATGCACGTGTGCTTCTCTTTAAAGTAAAGGAACCGGGAGGGATTGATACTAAGGATTAAACTTGAACGCTCGTTTAGTTCGTTGAGTTTTTAATTTGAGTTTGAATATAATTTTATATGAAAATTTTTTATTATAGTAAAAAAATTAGATGTGATTATTTTTAAGAGTTTTTTATTATAATAAAATTTAAATTTTAAAGATTGTGACAAATTAAACTTGTCCCTAAACTATTGGCAAAGTAACAAAATGCCTCTTAAAGTTTAAAAATAACAAATTTTCATTATGAACAATTTGCCGTTAGCACGCATCCATATTTTTCAACCTCTTGGTTAAATTTTGAACATTAAGTGACACGTGGAAGTCGCTAAAGCATTTAATTTTTATTCTATTATGAAATGACAATTTTACCCATCCAAGCCCAGCCGTTAACCAGTCAAACCCGCCGTTGACCGGCCCAAATTAAGGGTTTTGTTACCCAGGATCTTATGAGCATTTTTACATCATTATCACAAAAGATCCAACGATTGGATCGTCAGAACCACCTTTCGCCACCACGGCTCACGGCAGCGGCTCCATTCTCCGGCAATTCGAGGTTGTGTGATGCAATTGATTGAAGGCTTTTGATCCACGTCCCACTTTGAAGCTAACTAGCCCAGCGGTATCACTCACGATGGCTAAAATGGTAGAGATCGACAGGGGCCCGACGACCAAACTTCACAACTACGGTGATAAAGCTCCGCCGAGAATTGAGAGGTATTGCTGGTGTCATTTTCTTCGTCTCATCGTTCTAAGTCTATAGAAACCGGAATCATCTCAATCGAAGGTCGAATGAGGAAGTTATCACAACGGGAAGAAATATATATTTTTAGCTCTTTTTCTGACAAGTGTAGTGGCTACCGGCTGAGTTAGAGGTCCTACTACATGTCGTGTTGCTCAACTCGTCGAGAGCTTCGTGATGGTGAAGGAGGTGTCAAAAAATGATACTGGAATCCTAATTGGAGATCATGGCCGGTTGTTGTAGATAGAGAGAAGGAATCTTCATAATTTAACTAATTACACTTTCAAATCAAGTCTAGTCTTGTTTATCGTCAAATATAAGCATCCCGGTCAATGTCGGTCAACGGTTGGGCTTGGATGGGAAAAGTCACCATTTTATAATATAACAAAATTAAATACTTCAGCGATTTCCACGTGTCACTTAACGTTTAAATTTAATCGAGGGGGTGGAAAAGGGGGACGCGTGCTAACGACGAATTATTCAGGGAAAAAATTTGTTATTTTTAAACCTTAAGGGGCACTTTGTTATTTCACCAATAGTTCAAAGGGGACAAGTGTAATTTGTCCTATAAAAGCAAATATACCAGTTTTTATTTTTCTCAATTTATTCCTTAAGACTACAAAAATATTTTTTGACCACTAAAACCAATTTCTGATCATTAGATATTGTCAAAATCACATTATATTTAAAAAATATAAGGAAGAAATAGTTTTTTATACAAATTTAAAGACGGAAAGATTAAAAAATTATTGTTAGTTCATTTTTTTCTGATTCTGCTAGAAAAACTCTCTTATTATACTTTTTAATTTCATCTATCCCACACTTTTTAAATGAAATATATATAATTATATATATATATATATATATACACACACACGAAGACAAAAAACTCTCATTTTTTATTGTTAGGAGTTTCTCTAATAAGACTAAAGAAAATGAACTATCATTAATTTTTTTCTATTTCAATCATCATATATATATCAGAAACTATATGTTATACATATTTTTCAATATGTTATGATTTTGACCATCTACCAGATAAAAATTGATCCTACTAATTAATGGGGCTACAGGAGAAGGTCATTCACTATTTTATAGTAGGATTTTTTATTCACAAAAGTGTGTGAGGGATTACATTAAAATAAGTTTTTCAAAACATCATCGCCAATTTTAAACTCGAGTGTGTGAGGGATCACACTCGAGTAAGCCAGACTCGAGTGTGAAATTGAGTCTAGTTATGCATTTACTAAATGCAACTCGAATTCAAAGTCGAGTAATAACTCGAGTTGGTGAGTTTTTACCACCTATTGTTTTCCTATTACTCAAGTTTGGTTCTACGATGCGGATTGCTTATGCAAAAAAGATACTTCTTTATAATTAGAGTTTGGCTTTAGTACAAGTGAACACAAAAGTCAAGTTTTAAATATCAAATCAATCTCCTCCTAAACACTTAACTCAAAATCAAATCCACTTTCTTAACTAGAATCAACAACTTTGAGTTAGTGAAGTGAACGCGCTCTAATTGTTGTTAACTGATATATTAATTCCTTTTCTTTTAATCATTACTACATTGTGATTTTTAAATTATTTTAATATTAAAAGCTTAATTTTAGATGTTTCAAAAATGGTATTAAAATTTAGATATTGCATGTGGTTACAAGCATAGTATAACAATAGTTTCAAACTTAGGGTGCGTTTGGTTTTAAGGATTCTGCATGGTTCAAATCATAATTCCTAGTTCTACAATAGTATTTTTTTTTATAAAAAATTTAAAATTTAAATGTCAAAATTAAAACCACTCATTTAAACCCATGAATCCTTAACTTTACTATTAGATGAAAAATTTGAATCTCACAACCTCACGTTCAAAGAAAAAAGAAAGAAAAAGATGGTCATACTAAATTGCGTACAAATATATTATTTATCTTTTCATTCATAAATTCGACCATTAATAAAATTAATTCTAAAATCTATGATAAAATGGGTGTCACATTCTGTAACCAAAAGTGCTGAAATTTTAGGCCGGCGGGCCTGCTCGAAGCCCAAATTTTTTAGGCTCAACGGGCAAGCCCATAAGGCCGCTCATCCAAGCAAGTTTTCAAGCTCGGGCTCGGGTTGCCCGAAATTGAATGACATCGCCAAAGTCCGCTGCCGAAAGAATGCCCTCAACCGTTGAATGTCGGATTTTTTATTATTTTTTTCCCTCCGGCCCGAACCCGAAGCCCAAAAGCCTGACTCCAACGGCTCTTTTTTGACTATTGCCCGAATTTCGGCCCGAACCCGACTCGCCAAAAATTGAAAGTAGCCGTTGAATCTGAATTTTGGGGGAAAAATCAAAATTTTAACCAAAAAAATTCCCTATAAATACCCCTCATCTCCCACACATTTTTCTCATCTAAACTATCTCAATTTTAGTATAATTTTAACACACAATAATTTAATAATTATTTATATACAAATACAATTACTAAATAATAGTATATTATATAATATATATATACAATATTATAAAAATTAAAAAATATAATAAAAATATATTTTTTTTTTCGGGCCATTTGAGCGGACTCAGGCAGTCAAAACCAGGCCCGCTATAATAAAAAATATTTTTTTTTCGGGCCACTCGAGCAGGCTCGGGTTGCCCGACCGGGCTCGGGCAGCCAAAACTAGACCCATGGCCCGTTCATGGACCTTCTCGGGCTCAAGCAAGCAGGTTTGAACGTCAAGCTCAAAATCAGATTTTTCGAGCAGCTCGTCTAAAGTTCCAGCACTAACTATAATTGTGTAATTAATGCTAAATTCTCTTTTTCACACAAACCAATATCAATTCTTTCCAAATCTCTATTGGTCATACCCTAAAGCTAGATGTAGGGTCGGTTAGGAATAACTTATACTTGTGCTTTTAAGTAGTAAAAGAAGATAAATATAAATTGTGATTTTTTAATTAGTGTTTGAAAAATGTACTTTTATATCTAAGAAGGGATTTTAAACTTGTTTACGTAAAAAAGTAAAATGCACTTATTGTTATAAAAAATAATGTATTAAAAGGATATGAATGAGATATTTAATTTTTTGTTTACAAATAAAAGATTAAAAATATAAATAAAAAACATTTTCATAAGCATTAAGGAGATGACTTGTTCTAAAATGCTTAAAAAGCTAAAAACACTTTAAAATTGGCCATCCAAATAGGTTTAAAAGCGGCTTTTAAACTAAATAAGTTAAAAATAATTATTTTTAAGCCAATCCAAACAGGTCTGTAAAACGCTAGCATAATAATGGTTGAGTTTTCTACCTTGCACCAAAAAAATAATAATAATAAAACATAATAAACGGTTAACACAGCAAAAGAACTCTAATGGTTTTCATTAAATTGTATGGAAAATGTCCAATTAAAAGTATCAAAGTTATGGTAAGTTTGATTAGCACAAAACAAAAAAAGTTATGGTAAGATTTATTTCCCTCTTTATCAATTTATTTTTAATAGAATCTTTTTTCCTTTACCTTTTTTTAAGAATTATTTATATTCTGTAAGTGACCGCAATTAACAACTTTTTAAAATATCACAAGGAATCCCCAAAAAAATCCCAGGAAATTGCATTAAATTTTCAGATATGAACAAATTTTGCTTACTTTATTATAGGCGACAAATGTACAAATTAGCAAGCAGTTAAAGCATATCTTACTCCTTTTTTCTATTAATCTATCTTTGTTTTATTATTTAAGAAAAAAATACATTTTCGTATTATTTTCCTTTATGATCTCTCTTTTTGTTGCGCTAGTTACGAGATCAGATTATCAACGTTGGTTTCAATCTGAAAAGGACAGCTTATTTGGACCCGCCAATAATCTTGCGTCTATCTGAGTAATTAGTACGAGTGTTCGACGATGAATTTAATCACAGCCGCACGTGATCCCCTTTGGGATCTAAACGCTACTCATTGGCCCACACAGACACCTTCTAAGGCCTCGTTCATTTCACCGATTTGAATTTTTAGTTTTAAATTTTTACAGTAAAAAATTCTTAAAAAATGTCACATCTAATTTTTTTCTGCTATAGTGAAAAACTCTAAAAAAATATCACATCACAGCTCGAATTAAAAACTCAAATCCACGAAGTGAACGACCCGTTTAATATATGAATTCAAATCATGATTCAAATCAATAATTTTAATTATGATTTTTAAATATAATTTTTTACGAGAAAAAAAGTAGTAGAATTAAAATCATAAATTTAAACTCGTAAAAAACTCATATACTAAGGGTGCGTTTGGTTCATGGATTAGAACCATGTGATTAGAATTATTTTCGAATTATATGTATTTTTTATGAGGAAAAATACTGTAACGAATCATGAACTATGATTCGAATAAGGGAACGAATCCATCTACAAAACATCACCTAAATATACTCTTAAAATGTTGACTACACGCTTATCGAGATTAAGTCAGAATTAAGTTAAATTAGATTAGATTAGATAAGAATCCCACAATCCATATACTTCATGCGCCAAATGCATCTATGTCTAACACCTACGGTTGTATAATAAAACGGTTGTACAGAAACTGGCTTCTTAAGATTGCCGAAACTAGCTTAGCAACACAGACGGACTCAATATCACATTAGAACCAATGTTTGCCGATCGTTGAACCAAACTGTCGTCACATTAGGCAACTCGACACGCAGTTGTAGACATGCCCCCACAAATCTACGGTCATGTTTAGAATTAATTATATTTTTATATTTTATATTTTTTGAGAAAGAAAAAATAAAAACATTTTTAAAATGACGTTTGTCACAATGAAGATAAAAAATAAAAATGAAAACGATTTTTTAGTTTAGTGTAAAATAAGAGAGAAATGAAAAATGACTTTTAGTTATTTTTCATTTTTTGTTTTCGTTCTCTCCTCTCTAGAGAGAGGGAGACATTAATGAATTTTTTATACTAAAAATAATATTTTAATAAAATTATCAAACGCTTTTTTTAAAATGATTTATGTATGAGATTAAAAATGTTTTCATTTTTATTTTCATATAAAAATAAAATTATTTTAGAACAAGTTCTAAACGCGCCATACATCTCCCCATCCCCTCTTTGGATCTTTAACTCTTTGGAAGCTGGGAACTAAACCTGTAACAACTGCTAGAAAACCACTATAGACGATTAATGAACCGATCGAGTACCCTTTTGTTAGGTTCGTGATTAGTTTCACTTCCCAAAAAATCGACAAAGTTTTGTTCGGGGACCGAATTGGCCAACAACGAGGATTAAAAACTAATGAATCCCCCCACTAACATCTGACTCACTCTAGTCGAGATATACAATATATTTTTTTTATAAAAAGATTAAATAATTTGTCTCTCTCAAAAATGGTAGGGAATGAATTACTTGATTATAATTTTTTTTTCATAAGATAAAAAAGGTACCAACTTCACTTTTTCAATTTCAGTGTCAATGAGAACTCTATTGTAGAAGTAGCCTTTACTTAAATTATAGTTTTTAACCTCACACTAGCTACATAAAATTGAAATGGCATCTGTTATTTAAAAAAGAAGTTGGGACAGAGACATTTAGTTAATATATTAGAATCATGTGATTATAACTATTTTTAATTTACATGTATTTTTTGTGAGAGAAAACACTGTAATAAATCATGAATCATGATTCAAATCATGGGTTGAATTCTCTAACCAAACGTTTCTTAGTTCACGACTCTATTGGTGTGATATATTACTATTATTATTGTCGTCATCATCAAGTTTGTCAATAATTTTCAACCACTATTGTTTAATCATGAAAAATTAATATCAACAACCTTTCAAAATCAAGGGCGAAAGAAAACAGGAAAATACACAAACACATTCCCTTCCGAGATGGCATGGCATTGTGTATGGTGTCATACAGGAATTATTGGAAGAGACCTATTACGTTAGTCATGTCAAACGTCACCAACAACTCTTATTTGAGGAGTACTAAAGAGATTGGTGCTCTTAAACACTACCATTAGAATTTAGATATACGTAATTATGAACAAAGAATGTTAATGGTCATTTGTTCCGAAAGTAAAGACCAAGTCAACCTTAAAAACACCAAGTTGTGTACTCGTAACTTCAGCTGACAATCTAAATAGCGACACGACGACACAATTTAAAATCCGTACAAAGTTAGTGGGTTTAAGTTTATTATAAATGAGTTTATATCATAATCAGATTGACCTGATTAATATGATTAATAAATAGGTTGGGTTAAGATTGATTTCCTAACACGAGTGACACGAATTGACACGATTAACTATATTTGTTATTTACAATATAATGATATGTGATACAATATGAAAGTTTATATGACATATTAAATATAAATAATGTGAATTTTAATATTTGTAGGTAAAATTCATTCATTTTTCTTAAAGTAAAAGATAAATTAACCAATAAACATGTTAAACCTGTGTTGACCGTGTTAAATAAATCATTATTATATTAGTTATTTATTCAATATATTAATTGAAATGAGTTATACGGGTTGACACGATTAACACAATTAATAAATAAATTATGTTTAAATTGATATTTTTAACACATTTAATAAATATGTCGTGTTTAAATTAATAACTTTTAATACGATTAATAAACAAATCGACACAAATACGATTTACTAACACAAATTATCACCCTTACCCGTAACGAAAGAACTCAAAATATACACGTTGTCTTCTGCCTGTTATTTTCTATATCGCCCACATATATATGTCTATGGGCGATATAGAAACCATGATTTGGACGAATCTTGTCGTAACAAAGTACGGCCTCAATTAGGTCAAAGGCCCTGCAGGTAGGCCCTTGACTTGATTTTAAGTGGAGCCTGGACTGCCTAAGTCTACTTTACGTATAAGTTTGAACATTTTCTAAGTCCACAAATTTGAACATTTTCCGAATCTCTGAACCATGATGTTCCAAACTGATTACCTAATCAAAGTGGACAGAACCTACAGTAATCTCCTCCTTTTTTTTTTAGTGACTATATATATCCCAAATTTCAGACATTAAGGAGTTGTTTAGTTGGGAGATTCGTACCCCGATTTGAATCATGGTTCATGGTTTGTTAGAGTATTTTCTCTCATAAAAAATACACGTAAATTGAAAATAATTCTAATCTCATGGTCCTAATCCATTAACCAAACGTCTCCTAAATAAGGATGAAAATACTTTAAACCACTGAAAATCAAAATACTTTTAAGGATGAAAATACATCCCAAATTGTTCTTTTTACTGTCAAGTACACACTTGACACAACCTAAGAAAAGGTGCAAAATTTTTGAACGGTGAAGATCGTTATAATCCTCATCTAATAACTGAAATTTGAGTTTTATTCACATTAAAAAAAAAAACAATAATAAGAGTAGTGCTTCCCAATTAGAGTATCCTAAGTTGATTTTCCTTTTTTAGTACATATATTATATATTAGCTGTGTTTGAAGTTGTTTTTATTTTTGTTTTTCACGTTTTTTGAGAAAGAAAAAATGAAAATAGGAGAAAAACGGCGTTTGACACAATTAAAGATAAAAAATGAAAATAAAAACGATTTTTTAGTTTAGTGTAAAATGAGAGAGAAATGAAAAACGACTTTTAATCGTTTTTTATTTTTTATTTATGTTTTCTCCTCTCTCGAGCAGAGAGAGAGACAGTAATGGATTTTTTTATTTTGAAAATAATTTCTTAATAAAACTACTAAATACATTTTCAAAAATGATTTCTGTCTGAGATTGAAAACGTTTTCATTTCTATTTTTGTACAAAAAATAAAATTATTTTTAAACGAGATCTAAACGCACCTATTATGTGGCGAAACTACACAGATTGTCTCGGGTGATTTCTATTAGAAGTTTGATGCATTCTCGGGAATGATTTTCAATACTGTCCACAGAGATTTCAGCAGATTAATTGAAATGTCAGATCTGTCTCTTAATATGTTACAAAATATGGCCATTATTTCTTAAACGTTGTGAGTTTCTATGATAAGCAGAAGCAAAAGTGAATGCAAATGTAACGCAACATGGGAAGAATAACTTCAATAGTAACAGATAATATGAATGTACAACATAGTAGGTAGATCACGAGTATACATGAGCATCTTTTATAGATAAATACATCAGAATACTTATAAAGGTGTGATGTTCTTCATTAATTAAAAAAAAAAAGTAGTAATTGCACCTACTATTTTGTCCACAAGATCAAAGTCAAAATATGCCATAAAATTTCTTTAAAAAAAAAATTCTTTGGTAAAAAGAAAAAAAAAGAAAAAAGAACATTTTACTAGTAGTGAGTTATCAAATATGAAGGTTTTCTCAAATTTAGTTACGTTTTTCTTCTTACTATTCTGATATGATTTTGATGTCATCTTTAGTTTAAAAGCACATAATACTGTGGATAATTTTTGCAGAAACAACTAAAACATAAAGTTTCCGATTTGGGATTTTCTGATGGAGACAACTAACTAAATAGAGTTCAAAGGGCAAAACCAACCCGCAAGATCTTTGATATACTATGGGCACTGAAAATAGCACAGCGACTGATTTATTCTCATTGTCTTTTCTCTCTTTGGTGGTTTTAAGGCAACTTGTTCATGTGAAAACTGCCCCTAGTTTTCCAAAACCAATGATTTATATTGCACAACGCAACCAATCAAAAGTAAGATCCCGTAAAAGGAAAGCATAAAACAAGGTCCAGTCATTTTTATTTAACCCTTCTCAAAGCAAGAAAAGGCTACTTGACATATATGTATGTATTTATATGAACATATAAAAAACAACAGAGAGAAAGATGCATAGTATTGAAGTTACAGGGGGGAATAGTCTAACAAGGGAAAGTTTTCCTTGCAAAACTGAAAGTAAAAAGAGTTTTATTATTATTATTATTATTATTTAAAAAAAAAAAAAAAAACTTGGTTTATAAGAGAGAGACCATTGACCTGTTTACAAGGGATTTAAAAAACCAGGGAATCACATGGGCTGTTAGTTGCACTTGGACTTTGCTTTTTTGTTATTGCCATTTGCTATTTTCTAGTCATCCAATGTCTGAGTTTGTAGTTAACTATTAACCACCAAATCTTCCAATATAACCACCCTTTATTATAATACTAATAAAGATAAATTACATCACCACTAGGCCTATATATACTCCTTCACATTTCATATCTTCTGCATCAGGGTTAGAGTCTTAGAGATAAAAAAACGGATATGGAGATCCCAGTGATAGATTTCAATGAGCTTAATGGAGATAAAAGAAGTGAAACAATGGCTCTCTTACACCAAGCTTGTGAGAAATGGGGCTGCTTTCAGGTAAAGATGATCACTTTTGTTTTTTTTTTTCATTCATAGTTCTATTTCCTCAAATGTAATACTATAACCATTCTATTAAAACATTGGATGTTTCATGCAGATAAGAAGCCATGGAATTGACACAAAGTTGATGGAGAGAGTGAAGCAGTTGGTGAATATACACTACGAGCAGAATCTAAAGAAGCAGTTCTATGAGTCGGAGATAGCTAAAAGATTCGAGAGCAAAGGGCACACCTCCGACGTAGACTGGGAAAGCAGCTTTTTCATTTGGCATCGCCCTATATCAAACATGGAAGAATTCGAAAACCTTCCAAAAGATTTTTGGTAACCATAAAAAATTCTCATTCAAAAAACACACACACATATATATATAGATCACTTTGTCATATATGTACCTTAGAAGTAACTGACTTTTAAGTAACAATTGCAGCTCAACGGTAGATGAGTATATAGCTCAACTGCTCAAGCTGGCGGAGAAGCTTTCCGAGCTTATGTGTGAGAATCTTGGTCTAGAGAAAGACTTTATAAAGAGTGCTTTCTCAGGGACCAAAGGTCCCTCTGTGGGAACTAAGGTGGCGAAATACCCCCAGTGTCCAAATCCAGAACTTGTGAGAGGACTTAGAGAGCACACAGATGCTGGTGGGATCATACTCTTGCTCCAAGATGACCAAGTCCCAGGTCTCCAATTCCTCAAAGATGATGAATGGATCGCGATTCCGCCATCGAAGAACAACACCATCTTTGTGAACACAGGTGACCAAGTGGAGATATTGAGCAATGGAAGGTACAAAAGTGTTCTGCACCGTGTCATGGCTGACAAGAATGGAAGTAGACTATCCATTGCCACCTTCTATAACCCCGCCGGTGACGCCATCATCTCTCCTGCTCAAAAACTGTTGTACCCAAATCACTTCCGTTTCCAAGATTACCTGAAGCTTTATGCTACCACAAAGTTTGCTGACAAGGCCCCGAGATTTGAAGCCATGAAAAAAATGGTCAATGGGAGCAATGGTCTTCTAGCATAAAAAGTTATTTCTTACTTCTAGCCTAAAATGTTATTTCTCACTTTACTATATCAATGTGTACTCCTCACTTATGGGGTTTGTCTGCTACCTTTGTTTTTGCTATGTTATCCAAATAATGAACATTAAAAGAGAAGAAAAGGTATTCCATGCAAAGAATGTTTTCTTTTTCTTCATTTTTTCCACTCCCCTCTCTATCTTAAGAAGGAAAGTTGCAATCTCGTGATTCCAGGCAATGACATTGATGTTTATCTATATTCTTGATTTGTTTTGAGTATTGTTGAAGGCCATATGTGCCAAACTGATGAATTAGTTTAAGATAGTCACAAAATACACAAATTTAATTGATAGCCGCTCTGTATAATATTGATTAGGTGATTTACTTGCAAGCAAAGTGACCTACAGCATTCTCCGTTTTATGGCAACAACAACAACAACAAAAAAAAAAAAAAAAAAAAAAAAAAAAAAAAAAAAAAAAAAGAAAGAGAGAGATCACACGCTACAGCCTCATAGCACCAACAGAGTACTTCTATCTCTAGATCCAAGAAAAAATATTAATTTGATCGCATCATCCTTGCAATTGCAAATTGATATGTTTTCTTCCAAAAAGCTGATATTAAATATTATCTCCTGGATATTTACAATTCACATTAATATTTTGTGGTCCAAATTCCCAATATCCGTCGAGAATCATCTAAACCTGAATAACACCTTATTAACTATTAACAATGAATTGGTAACAATTAAACCACGACTGAAATTAATTTTGGGAGACGTCTTCTGTTTTCTACACAAAGTGAAATCTCGAAACCTCTCTTCATATCCAAAAGAGAGAATAATGTAAAATATCACCCCCATTCAGAGTCTATCATACTACTTGTATGCATTTTATCCTTAGCTACTAAATTTTAATAATTTCTCATTAGCGCCCCCCCCAAAAAAAAAAAAACAAGAATTCAATAATTGGTATCATGAGGGGAAAAAAGGAAAAGAGAAACAGTAACTAAACGTATCGATCAACAACGGCATAATAACTTCTTTTCTAAACTTTGTTCAAACAGTAAAGCCAAGAGCATTTATAGCTGTAAAAAGGAGGTTAATAATCAACGATTCTTCTTCAAGGCTAAAAGCTTCATGTTAAAACAAGGTTTTGGATGAAAGATGTAGAAATCGAGCATGCAAAATGCATATTCTCAGATTGACTGAATCCCAAGGCACAAGTGAACAATGTCTTTAAGTAGTGGCTACATAGCAGACAATTTAGATAATATGGATTTTGTCACAAGGGTATTGGTTCTCTCAACTGCTTCAGTCAATACACGCCTATGAGACTTCAATAGGGGAGAACATTTAGTGACTAAACACAACAAAAAGTTTCCAAATTTCAGAGATTTGGGAAATTTGCCAGCCGAATGCTGAACTTGGTAAACAATATGATCAACTGAATCCTGAGTAAAACAAACATAATGAATCAAAATATTTTGCAGCAGACCAAAAACTGATTCTGTCCATACAATTTGATCGGATATGAGATGCTGGTGGCATGGCTGACAGATGACTCTCCGCTCATCATTATCTCCGCAGAGCAGCTTCTGAAAGAAGGCAGAAACATGAGCTGGGTGCAAGCATTCCTTGACAATCCTCATGATCACATCGCATATGGGGTTGTTGATGCCGTCTTTGCGGAGAATCAACGGAAGCAAGAGGGCATATTCAGCGGCCCTCTGATGGAGCTTGCAGTACTCTATAGTTGCAGTCAGTAAAACACGAGGCGCTGGTTCTTCAAGAGCCAACAATTTGGGAAGGACAATTGAGCAGAGAACTTGGCTTGGCCATTTAAGCTCTTCTTCACTACCATTTGAAAGATGAGACAACAGAACTGAAGCAATTTCATCATCCACAAGCCAAGGTTCAGTCAGCCCCAAAATCATTAAAGAATCTCCACCGTTTTTAGAGCAAAGTTCCCGAATTTCATTCGCTAGGTCTACAGTTTTGGAAGCTGATTCCAAATTCGTGATCTGAGCTTTCAGATTAGCTGCTTTATTTTGAATTTCAGGTCCTAAGGAATCATTTATGGGGTGATCAATCTCAACTTCGTCCATGACTTCATCCATTAATTCTTCCGCATCCTCTCCAATTTGATCCAAAATATCTTCATTCTTCCCAGAATTACCATACAAAGTCCTCAAATCCTCATCCAAAATAGGAAGCCACGGAAGCCAATTACTGGCACTTGCCAAAGATTCCATGAGCCAACTGGGGACAGACTCGAACTCATCCTCCACTGCCTCCTCCCCAGAATCCAAGCTCAAGCCCGAAATCCACTTGTAATCCGACTCAGACAAAGCGTCGAACAGATTGCGCGCGGCTTTCTCTACCCAAAAATCCAGGCCATCTTTACCACTCAGGACATCCCGTGCCAACCTTCGCAAATCCCGACGGCAAAACCTCTGTCGTTCCACGGCAAGAAAGGACAAAATCCGCGCCTGAACCATGTTGGGAAGAGTCTGTACAAACATAACCCTAAATCATGGACATTATCAAAAAACCAAACGAATTCGAAACACAGAGAAGTCGAAATCCACATGTTTCGTTCGCATACCTCCTTGTGGAAGAAGATGAAGAAGAAGAAGAGTTGTCAACGACAATGGCGTCGAAGGGTTTCATTAGCAACGAGAGGAATGAGGCTGTGGTGATCGGAGTCTCGGCTGATGATGAGGCACCAGAAGATCCGTGTAACCACATTGAAGCTTCCGATTCCGGCGCCGGAGAGTTCAGGAAAATGTCGAAGAGTGGGACCCACGCCTCCATTTTCGCCCTCTTTTGGCTCTCTGCAAAACAGGGGAAAAAAAATATTTTCCTTTATTTTCTTTCCTTTTTTTTTTTTTGAAAATTGGAGGGAAGAGATTTAAGAGAACAACGATAAACCGCGGGAAAGCCATTTATTCCTGTTTTAGTTTGTTCGTGTTTCCAAACATGCGCCTTTCTTTTTTAAGCCTGCACAAAACGGATAAAATTTGTTGTTTCGAAGGATCCACGTCGGTGGCTTGTGTTTCGGATTTGATAGTTCCAATAACCAATCAGAGTGATGCAACGTGGTGATTTGTGGCTTTGTCACGTGGGCAGATTGTCGTAGACCGGTTTACTTGGGAAAGCTCGTGGCATCGCCACTTCAATAAGATGACGTTTGGTAGAATGATTCGTTCTCTAATTTAAATTATGATTCGTGATTTATTATAATATTTTTCTTAAAAAAAATACACATAAATCAAAAATAATTTAAATCATATAATTTGAATCCTCCAACTAAATATCCTCTTAAGTTATCTGGGACTGGGAGCGAGTGTAATTGGTGCGTGGACTTACGCGTTAAGCATGCGCTTGGCTTTGTCATTTGCTCTCATATGAAAACGCTTTTTGAAAACGCGGTTTCACTTTCCAAGCAATAGCCACGTGGAATCTTTCCGCGTTTCTCTTTTCATATTTCTTTTCCTTCCTCCAAAAAAATAAATTGTATTCAATTCTCCCAACTACAAATTTGGGATTTCACAGTACATATGGCGCTTTGTGAAGGATTGTTTTAATAAATGACTGAGATTTTACAAAATTATAAAAATGATTGTTTTTATTAGTTTAATGGTTAATCACTTATTGATTTAACAATCCATCAACAATTGATTTTAATTTATTACTAATTAACTTTATAATTTTTCATATAATCAATATCAATTAATATCTAACTAAAATTAATTAATTTTAATCAATAAATTACATATTTATTAATAATAAATTATTAATAAATTAATAATATATCGATTAATTATTGGCGCGATCAATTATTAATTGACTTCGGTAGACAAATCGATTATTTTTGTAAAATAAAAAAGCGGTCATTTATAAAAAGATATGGTAAAACTAATTTTTCCTTATAAATTCCTTTAAATGCTTATTACTCTAATTTTTCTTTTTATTTTTTAAAAAAGCTCTTTTTTATTTTTTTGAATTTTTTCATAAAAACACGTGAAACAAATTGAGAGGCTTGAAATTGCATAGTTTGGCAAAGATTACAAGCCCATGTGAAGTTCCAACTACAACATGACTGAAGCTGCAATAAACAAATGGCAATCACTAGAGAGATAAAGGTTGTGTTTGGAATTATTTTTATTTTTATTTTTTACGTTTTTTGAGAAAGAAAAAATAAAAATGAGAGAGAAACAACGGGTGCGTTTGGAATTGGTTCTAAAACGTTTTTATTTTCTGTACGAAAATGAAAATGAAAACGTTTTTAGTTTCATTTTTGAATTATTTCTAAAAATGCGTTTGGTAGTTTTATTTAGAGATTGATTTCAGTTTTAAAAAAAACTGAAACTGCGTTTGGTGGTTTAATTTTTGAAAACATGTAATAATATATTAAATAAATAATATTATTAAATATATTAAATAAATAATATATTAAATATATTAAATAAATAATATTATTAAATATATTATATAAATAATATTATTAAATATATTAAATAATAATATATTAAATAAATATATTAAATAAACATATATAATACAAAAACGGTTTCAGAAAAGAGGGAAGAAAATGAAAAAGAAAAAAAAAATGAAATCCGTTTTTCAGAAAACAGAAAACGAAAACAAGAAAATGAAAACACCTTTTTTTCGTTTTCTGATTTCCACAAAAAGACAAAAACGTTTTTGGTTTTGTTTTTTAAAAAAAATTGCACCAAACACGTTTTTAACACCCGTTTTCATTTTTTTGCTTTGAAAACCGTGGAAAACGAAAACGAAAACGCAAACAAACGGGCCAAACGTTTAACGCAATTAAAGATAAAAAATAAAAATGAAAATGATTTTTTAATTTAGTATAAAATGAGAGAAAAATGAAAAATGGCTCGTTTTTCATTTTTTGTTTTTGTTTTCTCCTATCCCGATGAAAGAGAGCCATTAATTAATTTAATAAATTTTTTTTATATTAAAAATAATCTCTTGATAAAATTACTAAACGTATTTTTAAAAATAATTTTTGTCTAAGATTAAAAACATTTTCATTTTCAATTTTATACAAAAAATAAAATTATTTTAAAATGAGTTCTAAACGCACCAAAAGATTCACATTTTTATTAATGCAACATCCATGCATGTAATATTTTGAGGTCGAGCAATGCATATGACCCGCAATTGCTGAAGCAATGCATATGACCGGGACTCATCGTTGCGAAAAATGAAAGTTTAATTGTGTATAGATTTACATATATATGTGCAAAAAAAAAAAAAAAAAACACTGTGTAGACAGTAAAAAGAAGTTCGACTAGAGAATAATAAGAACAAGTATATTTAAAAAAAAAACTACAATAAAGACCGATTATTTAACCATAAAAAATCTCCATTTTTGCCGCTACAAACCAACCATAATAATTATCACAAGGACTTGTGTTTAATGCTCAAGCTCATTAGTTTACTTTTGTCCCCATTAGTTTGGTAATGCGTGTTTAATTAATATATTTGTGTTATAATTTGAATAATAAAAAAAATAACTGTGTAGACAATAAAAAGAAGTTCGACTACAGAATAATAAAAACAAGTATATTTAAAACAAACTATAATAAAGACCGATTATTTAACCATAAAAAATCTCCACTTTTGCCGCTACAAACCAACCATAATAATTATCACAAGGACTTGTGTTTAATGCTCAAGCTCATTAGTTTACTTTTGTCCTCATTAGTTTGGTAGGGTGTGTTTAATTAATATATTTGTGTTATAATTTAAATCATAATTTATTATAATATTTTTTTTTATAAAAAATATATATAAATTATAAATAATTATAAATCATAATTTTTAAATCTATAAACTAAATATTCACATAAAATGAGTCAGTGACAAATTCAAAGAGATAATCTTCTCCTCATTCACCGCAGTCAAAAACATCACCAATTTCACTGAGAAGTTATCCCTTTTTAATATTTTTCGGACTCAAAAGTATATATTCTTTTTTGCTTTTTCACCCACCACCCAGAACACAGCAACATCCACAAACTCCCTACATATAATCCCAAAGGAACCTCAACAAAAAGAGATCACACACCTCACGGTCTCAGTCTCACTCACACATCTTTTAAATATAACATTTTATCTCTCTCTCTTAAAAAAAGAGTCCGATTCTCCGCCATGGGAGGAGTGAGCAACAACATCACGGCGGTGCTGAACTTCATCGCCTTCCTCTGCTCGATCCCGATAATCGCGGCCGGAATCTGGCTGGCGTCGAAGCCGGACAACGAGTGCATCCACTCGTTCCGGTGGCCGGTGGTGGTCCTCGGCTTCCTCATCCTCCTCGTCTCCCTCGCCGGCTTCGTCGGCGCGTACTGGAACAAGCAGGGGCTGCTGGCGCTCTACCTCTTCTGCATGGCCGTCCTGATCGCCCTTCTCCTCATCCTCCTCGTCTTCGCATTCGTTGTCACGCGCCGCGACGGCAGCTACGCCGTCCCCGGCCGCAACTACAAGGAGTACCGCCTCGACGGCTTCTCCGACTGGCTCCGCGACCAGGTCGCCAGCTCCAAGAATTGGGCCAAGATTCGGACCTGTTTGGCCGATTCCGATGTCTGTACTACGCTCGCGCAGGATTACATCAACGCCGATCAGTTCTTCGCTGCTCACATCTCTCCTCTCCAGGCAAGTTCTCTGTTTGTTTAATTTTCTTTTTAATTTCGATTGCGACCTGTTTGTCTGCTTAAAAGCTTTTTTTTCAAGTAATTTCACTGTCGCTATAATTTAGTATAGGGAAAAGGCTGTAAGTCTCAGAAGCGTTTAAATATATCAAAATTCGGCACATTTTTAGTGGGGAAGTTGAATTTTTTTAGCGGTTTAAGTGAGAAATGGTGCGTGCAAACAGGTCTTTAGTTTCTTTCATTTTCCACATTTCCAGCTTCCAGTACTAAAGACCGCACAGTGACGCAACGTGACTGGTTGTGGCAACGACTTTTCTGTCCAAAAATGTTCTCTTTCTCTTTCAGTACCTACCAGAACCAGGTTATCCAAATGTATTCTATGATAATAGGGCGTGATTATCCAAATAATTACCAATGAGCCATTGTTCTCCGTTTCTATAGAAGGAAACTACTTGGGCCAAATAAATTCCAGGAATATTATCACTAGTGCCCTGAATTTGAGAGTTATTTTCAGTTTTTCTCTTGAATTTTAAAAGTTTTTATTTTGTTCCCTAATGTTAAATTGTTCTAACTTAATCCCTTTTATTGTAATTTCAGTTAAAAATAGATAGAAAAAAGATAATAATAAAATCTTGTGGCCTTTCTATTTAGATTTCTATTTAAAAGAAACATATAAAAAATCACATGACCGTACGTAATCTCCTCTATTTTTGTATGATTTTAGTAGAAATTACAATAAAATGAACTAAATGAGAACAATTCAAGATTTAATAGGCAAAATTAGAAATTTTAAAATTTAGAAAGCAAACAGAGAAGGGAATGACCACAAAATTTAAGAGACACCAGTGAGAATAATCATAAGTTTTAACTCCTTGGTAAAATTGAGAATTAACTATGCTATAAACACGTATCAAACACCATAAGCTGGATTTTAGCCCTAAATGATGAATAAATCCATCTAAGTTACTGTTAACTTAACAACAAAAAACTTTCAACTATTCATATTGATTTACCTATCAATATGAATAGTTGAAAGTTTTTTGCTTTGGTGAAATTGATGAGGTACTAGATTTTTAGGTAATCTTGATAAATACCTTTTAAAAGTGTATAGGTCAGGATTTTTACCTTTATTCTTAATTCATAACCGTTTTAATCAAATAATTACACTAATAAAAGGATATTTATCAAGAATAAGGGGTAAATGTCTAAATTCATGCATTCTCAAGAGTAAATTCTCTATTTTTTTAAATAAGACCTAGACTTGAGACCCATTATGTGAGCCTATAAGCCGAATCGGGGCCATAGGAAAGCCATGGCATGTACCCCACCAACGGAGCTGTGAGCAATGTGGTCCATAATTTGGATTATGGGGTCTTACTTTTAAGATTTTATCTCATCACCTTAAGGTCAGCATGACTAGAGATTGCATTAGTGGAATAAGAAAAAAGGAGACACATTGCTGATTACCTAGTGCTATCATTGTATTTGTGGGGGCGTCCCTAATGTTCTTACAAAACGGAATTGTATGAAGAATAGTAGAAGAGTGTGCCAATAACAGAGAAGTTAAATTAATCATGGATGTTAGACTAAAACAAAAGTAATCGCAATTGTTGAGGGGTTTGTTTTTGCTGGTGACAAAGCTTATGCCTTATGGTTGCCAGCTATTGCCATTGTTTGGTGGCATTTCTTTTCTTTTCCCTATTGCCCTTTTGCCATTTTTTAGACGGTTTTGTGGTAAGATTGAAAAAATTCCCTTCAACACAACTTAATTGAAAATCTGAAGATATTTTTTTATACCATACCATACAATTCTTTTTTTTTTTTTCCCTATGGCTAATCTGTATTAGTATTATTTTTTTCCTTATTTTACAGTCAGGGTGTTGTAAGCCACCAACAGCATGTGGGTACAACTATGTGAACCCAACACTGTGGATAAACCCAGTGAACCAAATGGCTGATCCAGACTGCTACTTGTGGAGCAATGACCAAAACCTGCTCTGCTACAACTGCAACGCCTGCAAGGCGGGCCTGTTGGGGAATTTAAGAAAAGAATGGAGAAAAGCCAATATCATTCTTATAGTGGCACTTGTTGTCTTGATATGGGTCTATCTCATTGCCTGCAGTGCCTTCAAGAACGCACAAACGGAAGAGCTCTTCCGCCGCTACAAACAGGGTTGGGTCTAATCTCGTTTCCAAACAGACCCAATTTTCAGATTGGCATTTTTGTTTCTTTCTTTCTCATCATTCTAATGATGAATTATGTCTCTGTCAACTAATGTACATATTCCACTGCTCTCTCTCTCTCTCTCTCTCTGTTCCATGGTGTCAGGTAGTCTAATTCACGACACCAGTATCAGTTCCAACACTAGTTTGTAACTATATCGTTTCATTTTGTAATTTCAACCTTTTTCTCTAGTGTAATTGACGCACCAACATTGGAACTTTTAAAAATTCCTAGATACTCTCCGACCTCCTTAATGGCGGGAAATCTTGTCCTGGAACAACAGAACAATTTTTAATTAATTCAGCGTCTTTCTAGAAGAGGAATAACATCTTAAATTATCATTTTTTTTATCTTATCTTATCTTTTGGGGGCAGAGTATTGGATTCTTCTATTCAGTGGTCACTTTTAGCAGCTTATTGTCACGCACTATAGCGCCACACACATTAGTCTTTTAATGCCGACCACTTAAAAGGAACCGACGTCGTTTTCTTTGGTAGACAAGGTCTTTCTTATACCGAGATCTCCCGCGAACGATTTCTTTTTTCTATAAAATATAGAAGTATGGAGGAAAAAAAAGGGAGAAATACTTCTGTAAGGTTATGATTTTTATTTATTATTTTTAATTAATATATATTTAAATAAATAGTTGTATTAGTTAAAGAATATTAATTATGAATAATTGTATAAATTTAGACTCATGCACTCTAAAAGTAAATTGAACAATTTTCTCAGGAAAAAAACTTAGAACTATGAAAACCAAATATGGGCTTATGATAGGCTACGCAAAAATGAAATTTTCAAAGGGTTACAAAGATTAGTTAATGGTTTTTTTTTTTAATAGTTTATGAGGCTCTGGAGAACTAATATTACCTCCATTAAGTCCGTTCAGTTCGCTAATTTGAGTTTTTAATTCTAGTTGAGATGTGATGTTATGTGAGAACTTTTTACTGTAGTAAAAAAATTAGATGTGACTGTTTCTGAGAACTTTTTACTGTAACAAAACTCGAATTAGTGAAATGAACGGGGCTCGATTTACAGGCGATAGCCAATAAGCGATGAAATATAACTGCATTCCATCGTTAGAAAAGGGGTAAGAAAGAAAATTTCCGTAGAAGTCTTTAATAATTTGTCAATGCCCTTATGGCAGTTTGTCACGTGGAAGTTGCTAGTAAAATCGTTTCCATAATTCTAGAATTTTGTATGACTGACCTTGTAATCTCAGATTCTACACTTGCATGTGTAACTCTCGCACTGCAAGTAAGATTATAGAGTTTGGGGAGAAACATTTCGTGCCCGTTTGCTTGTTGTATTTAAGCCTATAATTCTCATTCTGTTATAATATTTTCTTTTCACAAAAAATTTAAATAAAAAATGTATTCGTCAATAATTTTCTCACAAAGCTCGTACCAATAAATTAAAATTATTAATTTAAATGCATGAATCAAAGAAATCTGAAATTTTCTTGTTTGTCTTTAATTTATGGGTTGCTTTTCTTTTTTTTTTTTTGCTTGTTAGTTTTCTCGTATTTTTTCAGTTTTTTTTGTTTCCTTCTCACTTTTTTTTTTGACCTTTTTAAGTTTGATTCGTTTATGTTGTCTAGTCGTTTTCTTTTCTGTGTCGTTTCCATGGTCATGTTTTCCCTCTTTGCCCATTTCAGTTTTGTTATTTCTACGTTAACGCCGTGTTTACGTTTTTCATATTTCAATCTCCTCCCTTTTCATTTATTGTCGTTTTTTTCTTTTTTTTTTTTTTTTTGTTATTTCAATAGTTGTCGATTTTTAGTGTTTGTTGTTTTCTTGTTTACGTTTCTATTTTGTGGTCGTTTCCATATTCATGTTTTTTTTTTTTTTTAGGGGTGTTGTTTTCTTGTTTTGTTTAGGTTTTGTTGTTGTTTTTCTGTTTTGTTGTGTTCTTTATGTTTTTTCGTTTTCCCTTATTGCCGCTGTTCAATTTTGTTGTACTTATTCAGGGCCTGTTCTTTTAGAGTGTGACTTGAGTGTAATTTTTGAGTTAAATTTGAGTTATAACTTAAGTTTAAAGTTGTAACTTAAATAAAGTTAAATAAAGTTAAATAATGTTAAAATTTAAAAAAACTTGAACTTAAATAAAATTATAATTTAAATTTAAACTTTTTTTGAGTTTTGTCGTAAAAGAATAACCCTAAGTTATTTTCATTTCACTTCAATGTATCTTTTCGGTATTTGTCCCTTTTAACTTTGATTGCCGTATTCATAATTCCCGTCCTTTCCAATATCGTTTTAGTTTTAATGTCGTATTTGTTTTTGTCGTTTCCATTGATTGTCATTTCCCTGTTCACCTCCATTTTTAGTGTTGTCGGTTTCTAACCGTCGCCGATTTTCCGTCTTATCGTTTTGGTGTCATTTTCTTGTTCCTGTTACCTGTTTTGCTCGTTTTTTAGTTTTGTTGTCGTCTTTTCGCTCTTGATGTTTTGACGTGTTTAAGGAGTGGATTCCCCAGTTCAGACAAAAAAGCACAAACAACATCCAGAACAGAGCCTTCAGCCAATAAATCCGAGTCACCAAGATACTTATCATTTATGATCGTGTGTAAAAGTCAGTACCATAATTGATAATTTGATTATAGATAATTTACTTGGAATTTCACATGAATTCTGAAATTTGTTTATGTGATTTTTGTTCTACTTGGCTACTGAGCTACCCGTTTAGCATCTTAATTTCGATAAAATGTTATATTACTAACTATGTCATTACCATAACGAACAGTAGGACTAATAAATACCCAAATTTGGGCAATAATGTACATGTTCAACAAAAGTAGGGACCTCATGGTTGTTAAAAAATATAATACTGATTTTTTTTAGCATCATTATGATACTGTTTTCTCACTTTACTCATTTTACACTATCATTAAGATACTAAGGGTCCGTTTAGTTCGCTGATTCGAGTTGAGATGTGACTTTATGTGAGAATTTTTTATTGTAATAAAAAAATTAAATGTGACTGTTTTTAAGAGATTTTTACTGTAACAAAACTCGAATCGGTTTTTTAACTTTGTAGTATCATTAAAATACTGATTTTTTGTGGTATTGTTGCAGATAATTTATCTCCCAGTTGAAGTTGTTTTAGGTTGCTGTATTTATATTGTTGTCGTTTCTAGAGCTCATGTTGTTTAAGTTTCTTGTCGTTTTCTTAGTTGAAATCCTTTTGGTTTTGTTCTCGTTTTTCAGCTTCACTATTAAAAAAAAAATGGTTGTCGTTTAACAAAGTAAGTTTTTCATGTCATCTTCCTGTTTTGTTGTCACTCTTTTTCATTTTGTCGTTTTTTTTATGTTGTTGTCCTTTACCTTTTCCATTTTGTTTTCTATCGCGGAGTAGATGTCGTTTCCCTGATAATTTGTTTCCATAATTTTACTGTCGTTTATTGCTTTTAACTTGATGTCGTTTTCCTGTTTTGTCGTTTATGGTTCTTACACTCGTAAGGTTTCCTTTCGTTTCATTATTGAGATGTTGACTTATTTGTCGTCTATGTCTTTCTGTTATCGTCGTTTTAAATTTTGATGTCTTTTTTCAGTTACTTTGTCATCTTTACCTTATTCGTTTTCCACCTTTTCCAAAAGCCTAGTTGTTTCTCTTTGTTCTCTCATTTTAAAGGCTTTTGGCTGGTCGGCAGGACTTTTGTGTAAGTAAAGGAAGTAAGAAGAATTCTTTGATTTCTGGTGAAATGGTTTCTTCTTTTCCCCTATCAACCTGAGATAACAAAAATTTACGCCTTCGAAAAAGAGTAGGATAACAAATAGTTGATTCAATTATAACAATAAGCTACTGTTTGGTTCATTAGAACTATGAAATTAGAATTATTTTTAATTTACGTATATTTTTTGTGAATAAAAATACTGTAATAAATCATGAAACGGACTCTGCTCGGCTCTTTGAGCTTTAACGTTGATCGATGAATAATTTAGTTTAGAGTTTATGGCCCATTGGGCCAAACTTTACTTATAAAGTTGTTTATGTAATCTTAAAGTGTTTAATGTGCATGTTTATAAAATATCTTTCCTTGCTCTTTACTTTTCTTGAATTCGAAAGAAAAAGATTATAAAGAAGATGATGAAGTAGTGATCAAATTGATCTGACATATTCTTGATTCTTCTCTACCTTCCCATATTATGTCCATGTTGTTGGCATCTCAACTTGAACTTTTTTCTTTTCTTTTCTTTTCTTTTTTCGTTTGAAGAAAGCATCCCAACTTGACTAGTATACAAGCCCTTTTAAATTGACGCAAAGAAAAAGAGAACAAAAATTATATAGAACTCCCATTTAATTTACTAATTTGAGGTTTTAATTTGAGTTAAAATATGACTTTATGTGAGAATTTTTTATTATAATAAAAAAGTTAAACGTGACTGTTTCTGAGAGTTTTCTACTGTAACAAAATTTAAATTTTAAACTCAAATCGATAAAATAACCGTACATTAAGATGTTTGAATATATCATTCACTATTAAGATTAAAATTGAGTTTACACGGAACCGTGTTATTATGGCCAACTCAAACTTCTAAAAGTCTAAACTGCCCGGTCAATCTAGAGTTAATATTGATCTCTTTTTGGGCGTGCTTACCTAATCTGTAAGAAAAAGGTAATGAGTATGTAAAGAGAAGGAAATGATTAAGAGTGAGAATCAACAATTCACTTTTAAATGTAATGAAATATTATCAAATTTTCTTTACTAAACTAAAAATGTCATTTATTGGCCTCGTTCACTTTACAGATTTAAATTTTTAATTTGAATTGAGATATGATATTTTCTGAGAGTTTTTCACTGTAACAGAAAAAATTTAATGTGACATTTTTCTGAGAGCTTTTTACTGTAGAAATCTAAAACTGAAAACTCGAATCGGTTAAATGAACGAGGCCACAATTGCTATTCATTAAGGTATATAAGTAAATTCGATATTTATTTTTCTTAACCAGAAAAAAAAAGATAAAATTGATATTTATTTTTTCTTATTTCTCAATGTGGGTTAGATCTCGTTCAGTTCGTCAATTTGAGTTTTTAATTCAAGCTGAAATGTGATTTTATGTGAGAGTTTTTAATTATAACAAAAAAAGTAAAATGTAACTTTTTGTAAAAAATTTTAATTGTAATAAAACTGAAATTAAAAACTCAAATCGGTCCCTATTTTCCTTCATACCCTTTGCGTCACTGTGACACGCCACAAGTGTCCATGTTCCATTTGCTTCAATAACTTGAAGCTAATTCTGTTTTAGCCAAAATAATTTTTGCATCGAGTACTAACCACGTGGACAACGTTTTTTACTTACTCAAAACAAACTCTGGACATAAATAGTAAGAAACAAACTAGTGACACAGCCCACTGATTTGCAGAGTCTTACAACTGTAAGGCTATCAGCTGAAGAAACTAGCAAAAACAAAAGAGAAATTTGGAAATACAAAAAAAAATTTCTGTGATTGACTACATTTGGATGTACCACTAATGCAGCTAAAATATGTGTTGTCATTGTATGTGGTAGGTGAGGAAGGAGCCATCAAAGAAGCAGCCATAGAAGTTCCAGATATAGATAAAAAAAAAAAAAAAAAGTATTATTAAATCTGACTAGATTGTTTTGTAGTTAACAATACATAAAATTGTAAATTTAAAAATAAAAAAAAATGCTTGCAAGCTTGCATCAATTATAAGAAGATTCCAAGTGGGTACGTATGGATCCAATGTCATCCCAATTGAAAAAAGAGTATGTTCCATGTCATGTTGCCTGTGGAATAAGAATTTCAACCTCATTTTTATCTTTCTTTTTTTTTTTTTTTTTTGACTTTGGAGTGAATAAGAAGAAGTAAAACCTGCACCAGAAAGAGACCCACTTGTCCAATCCAAAAAGGGTGTTGAAAGGACATTATATTACGTGGCAAAACTTCAAAAACGTAAAAGATGGTTTCCAGTTATTAGTACAAAGTAGAATGGGCCTCTTTATCACTCTTTTTCTGATTACTACATTGATGCAATAGAGAAAGTCTAGAAGAAAGCATTGCTCACCCTTTTTTATGTTTATTTATTTTATTTTTTTTTTGGCAGGGCCTACCAAAGGTTTTGGTAGATGTAAATCTCCTAGAAAGAAAGGAGTTAAATGAGTTTCATGAAAAGAAAAAAAATGCAAACACACTATAAGCAGGGGGAAAAAAAAAAGAAAAGAAAGAAAAAGCAATCTATCACGTGAATTTTATAAATCATGTGCCCCAGTGATAGTGCAAAGAAAATCAAAGTATTACATATATTATATATGTGTGTATATATATTTTATTGTCCGTTTAATTCGCTGAATCGAATTGAGATGTGACTTTACGTGATAATTTTTTTATTGTAATAAAAAAATTAGATGTGATTGTTTTTGAAAATTTTTTACTATAATAAAACTCAAATTTTAAAGTCGAATCGGTAAAATAAATGGGATATATATATATATTACTCAATTTGGTTGCCTCTTACTCACATGGAAAATTGAGGAAGTGGAATTGACTCTTGAATTGTATATAAATTTGTTTACATATATGTAAGGGAGAAAAAAGACAAGATGTCATTCATCCTCTCTAGTAACTTGATGCTTTGTGATTAGCACTTCAGGATTGTGTTATGTGCTACATCCCAACCAACAAGTTATGACACTTTTTTTTTTTATGACAAAACATTTTGCTTTCACTCAACTAATCTTCTTGTCTTCTCTGACTTTAAACATCATGCTCCATCAAGTGACACTTAATTAATTTTAATTGCTAAACTTAGTTATTATCATTATTGTTGTTGTCATTGAAACTACAGAAATCGGTCTACACAGTATTATACTATTAGTATCCTCCTAGTCCTACTGTTCAAGCATTTTTCTCGGTGGCAGTAAAGAAAAACAATAAGGAAATAAATAACAATAACATCACAACATTACAGAAGTTAAAGTTATATTTACAGAAAAAGGTTAATTTAAGCACGTGGAATCTTTGTATAATAATAGAAGGTTTATAGAGACACCAGCTGGCCAAGAACCTTAGCTGCTACCAACTTTAAGATAGAGTGCTCACTTCTTTCTCATTCTCAAATGCAACATGAAAATAAACAACTACAGTCATGGGTAAACATATATTTAAAAACTCAAATAAAAAAGGTTAAGTTTAGAAACTAGAAAAGATAGTTTTAAATTCACACAAGACATGTTGTTCTTGAAGTGGTTAGAAAATAGAACAAAATGGATGGATAATTTTGATACGTAATTGTGAAGTAGATCTGGTTCAGTGAATCTCTCAAGAGGCAATGAATATGTGATGGCATATATAGGCTGTGTTTGGAGTTATTTTTGTTTTTTATATTTTTCGAGAAAGAAAAAATGAAAACGGGAGAGAAACGTCATTTGACACAATTAAAGATAAAAAACGGAAATGAAAATAATTTTTTGGTTCAGTATAAAATGGGAGAGAAATGAAAAATGACTTTTAGTCATTTTTCATTTTTTGTTTCCGTTTTCTCTTCTCTCGAACAGAGAGAGAGACATTAATAGATTTTTTAATACTGAAAACAATCTATTGATAAAACTACCAAACACATTTTCAAAAATGATTTATGTCTAATATTGAAAACGTTTTCATTTCTATTTTCATACAAAAAAATAAAATTATTTCGAAACGAGTTCTAAACGCACTCATAATGTTTGAACCACACAAAGCTAACATTTGTTTTCTCCCTATAATCCGCTGATTAGAGTTAGGAAACTGGTTAGTCCCTTCCCTTCTAACTATTGTATTGTGATACCTTTCATGACATAAAAATCATATTACCATTTTTATTAAACTAAAACAAAAGTGGTCCCTCACAACTTTTATCTTAACTTTTAATACCAACTCATGTAATAACAAATCATTATCTTTCTTACGTGATTATAGATATAACATTGTAATATTAATCCTAAGTTTACATATAGTAATAAAAAGATGATAATTCACCTATCACATTAATTAATATATAAAAGTTGAGATTTAAATTAATATCCTAACATTACTCTTTTTTTAAATACCTATGAATGAAAAAATAACAACTTATATATTAAGTTTATGCAAAAAGAAGTTAAAAACTTTAGATCTCTCTTCTAGAAAAAAAAAAACCTTTGGGACTAACATTTATAAAAATATCAAAAATATCAAAGTTAAGACGTCATTCAATTCATTGATCTAAGTTTTTAATTTAAACTGAGATGTGATTTTATATGAGAGTTTTTTACTATAATAAAAAAAATAAATATGATTTTTTATAAAATTTTTTAATTATAATAAAATTAAAATTTAAAAATTCAGATCATAAAATGAATGACGTATGGATCCTTAGGTAATCAATTCATTTGTGAGTTCTGCTTGTTGTATCAAAATTATCAAAGTCAACTCATATGTGTATCACTATTGTGATTTTCTCTCCCTACCTCTTTTTTACCGTTTTAAAATATTCATCAAAATTAAACAATAAATTACAAAAATAATAAAAAAAGACTCGCATCCCTATAAATAACTTGGCAGCACCCCCGTCTCCTTCCCCCCTCCTCCTTCTCCCTCACTTCCCAACTTCTAGGAGCTCCTCTTCCTTCCTCCTCCAAGCCCACAAAAACCAACCCAAACCGGGTCAATCCCCGAAAATGGAACCCCGGCCCCGATTCGTAATCGAAGCCGCGGAGGCCGAATTCATGGCCAAGCAGTCCGGCCAGACGGTCCTCCAACTCCTCCCGTCGCTGGTGAAGCCGGCCCAGCGCCTGGCCCGCCCGCCAATCTCCCAATTCAACGTGGGAGCCGTCGGGCACGGGTCCTCGGGTCGGATCTTCTTCGGCGTGAACGTGGAGTTCCCGGGTCTCCCTCTCCACCACTCTATCCACGCCGAGCAGTTCCTCGTCACCAACCTCTCCCTCCACTCGGAGCCCCACCTCGATTCCTTCGCCGTATCCTCCGCCCCCTGCGGCCACTGTCGCCAGTTCCTCCAGGAGCTCCGCGGCGCCCCGGCGATCAAAATCCTCATCACCGAACCGGACGGCGGCTGCCGGTCCGATTTCGAACCGCTCCTCAGCCTCCTCCCCCACCGGTTCGGGCCGGACGATCTCCTCTCCAGGGACGTCCCCCTCCTCCTCGAGCCCCACGACAACCGCCTCGAGTTCCCGATCGAGGCAGGGGGCGGCCTCTGCAATGGCGGCGGCGAAAACGGCTTCATTGAGGACGAGCTGAAGCGCGTGGCGCTGGAGGCGGCGAATGCGTCCCACGCGCCGTACACCAAGTGTCCGTCGGGGGTGGCGATAAGGGACTGCGATGGGAGGGTGTATAGAGGGAGTTACGCGGAATCAGCGGCGTATAATCCGAGCTTGGGGCCGGTCCAGGCGGCTCTGGTAGCGTACATCGCGTCCGGCTGCGAAGGCGGCGGGTACGAGAGGATTGTGGCGGCGGTTTTGGTGGAGAAGGAAGGGGCTATGATAAGGCAGGAGGAGACGGCGAGGCTGCTCCTCCGGTCGATCTCGCCGCGGTGCGAATTCCGGGCTTTCCATTGCGTTTCCGGTTGTAAGAAGGGGTGTTGCTGATTTTGTGGGTGTCTTGTGGCCACCATTTTTGGTTGGTGATATAATGGAAAAAAGGAATTGGATTGGATTGGGTGAGTTGATGGAATGAAATTGAGGATGAACATGATCCTGTTTCTGTGTATGTGTACATCTTTTGCGCTTTTATTTTCGATTCTTAATTACTAAAGTAGCAAAATAAGCACAGTTCCATTTGGGATTTGGTTCTCTTTTCTATTGGATTAGATTTCATGGTTTCTGTAGAGGCTATGAAAGAATCTTGATCGGTCGTAAAAGGTGGTGTACAGAGATAAAACTATTGAGCATAAAAAATTTATAGATCCTCTTTGCAAAGTGAACTGTTATTAGAGTGAAACACATTTTGACATTTCTGTAGTACCCAATAAGCAGCAGAAAAATAAACTCTAGGTAGAAATTAATACATACTGGAGAGACAACAAAGATTTGTGCACGTTGACGGAGAGAACAAATTCACCAACAATTTTAAAATTACACATTATTAAACTCTCACGATCTCTCCATATCTAAATTTTAAGGCATGTTCTTTTAGAGTGTAATTTGAGTGTAACTTGAGTGTAGTTTTTGAGTTGAATTTAAGTTATAATTTGAGTTGAAATTGTAATTTGAATAAAGTTAAGTAAAGTTGAATAAAGTTAGAACTTAAAAAAACGTAAACTTAAATAAAGTTGTAACTTGAGTTTAAATTTTTTTAAGTTTTATTGTAAAAGAACAACCCAAAAATCTTTCGTTTATCTCTCTTCTCATTTTCTTCTCATTTTTTTCTCATTTTCTCAAGCACAAATACTCTTCTTTTTTTCTCTCTCTTTCTTTCTACTCGTTTTTGCTTCAAATCCTAGGCAAAAAGACATTTACATTAGAATTATTTTTTATTTACGTGTATTTTTTATAAGAAAAAATACTGTAGCGAATCATAAACTATGATTTAAATCAGGATACAAATCCCTTTACCAAACGTCACGCGTTTATGTATTAAAATCATAATTCAAAATTATTCTTGTTTTACGCGTATTTTTTTAAGAGAAAATACTGTAAAGAATCATGAATCATGATTCATAATCAGAGACGAATATAGGAAACAAACGTCCCCACAAATTATTTTAAAACGCAAAGTTTAACCCTAGTTCAAGCTCACTTGGCCCCGTTCATTTCGCTGATTCGAGTTTAGAATTCGAGTTTTGCTACAGTAAAAAGCTCTCACAAACAATCACATCTAACTTTTTTACTACAGTAAAAAGCTCTCACATAAAATCACATCTCAACTCGAATTAAAAACTCGAATCAGCGAACTAAACGGACGATTTATGTCCCGTTTATTTTACTGATTCGAATTTAAAATTTGAATTTTGCTACAGTAAAATTTTTTTAGAAACAATCATATTTAACTTTTTTGTTACAATAAAAAATTTTCACATAAAATGACATATCAATTCAAATTAAAAACTCAAATCAACGAATTAAACGAACTCTTAATTCAATAAAATAATTCGAATTAAATACCTGATAATCTCTACTTTAACTCTAATTCTTTTAGGCTCCGTTCTTTTCGCTGATTCGAGTTTAGAATTCGAGTTTTGCTACAGTAAAAAACTCTCAGAAATAATCACATTTAATTTTTTTACTACAATAAAAAATTTTCACATAACATTACATATTAACTCAAATTAAAAATTAAAATTAACGAACCGAATAGACCCTCAGCTCACGCATGCAAATACTTTGATACCTGCCATCATACCCTATGAGGTGGGCTGACAGCTGTACAAGTGTAGCAACAATAAACACATCTCAAGTAAACACATCTCAAGTTCAAATTCTCACTAAACTTGATAAAAGAAATTGATTTATTCTTTCTTGCTTGGTCTTCATTGCTATAAGTATTCATCTTGTTGTTTTCAGTTGTCGCCATCATCTTGTTACACTCGGGCATCATCTTTTTCCTTCACAACGGAAAAAGACACTTCCAACGTGGCTTCACCTGCGTTACTCCACCTAAATTGTTTTGTCGATCAACTTTTGTTTTTCACATGTTCATCCTTCAGGATTATTAAAGCAACTTTCTTGATTTCCATAAAACCAATCTTTCCATAATAATCATAATCTAAAGTGTTAAAGCCCCCACAAATAATAATAATAATAATAATAAATATTTTGTTAGCCGAAGAATATGTTTAACATTTATTAATGTCTCAACAACAACATTGAACATCTTCACTATCTATTCTAATAACTTTAACACTAAAAACATTAGTCATAATAAAAATACTAGCATCACACGACTTAATAATATCGTTGTATGGACACATATATATGAAACAAACCTTGAGAATCTAAAATTCAAGAGTCAAAAATTTTTTATCAGCAACAACATAATAAACATTATCCTCACTATCAAATATATCATCTAACAACATTTCGCAAAGTCTCTTTAATTTCTTGTTTTCTCTTTTCTTCAATTTGTTTTCTTAGTTCTTTATAATTTCTTCGTAACATGTCAACCAGCCAACTACCTTCTATAAAAGTGATCGAGAATGACCATCTTTCTTATGTTAGTATCTTTCTCATGACCTACTCTGACTCTATTTGAATCTAACTTCGATAAAAAGAACTTGTTCAATAGGAGATGAACTAAGGTAGTGTTATATTTGAGTCTTTAATAAAGCAATTGACACATCATCACAGTCAACATAGTTTTCCAACTTCTATTGCAACTTTATCTTCCTCATCAATCTTAACCTCTACACTAAATCTCATTCAGTTTGTCGATTCGAGTTTTCAATTCGAATTGAGATGTGCCTTTATGTGAGAGTTTTTTACTGTAGTAGAAAAAGTTTGATGTGATTTTTTATGAGAGCTTTTAACTATAAAAAAATTAAAATTGGGGTAACTGCATTTCTATACCTAATACTCAGTATAAAAATAAACTCATACTGATGCCTAAAATCAACATTCAACACAAACACAAATAAAATAAATACGTACATGTTTCGGTTACGTCCACAGGAAATAGAAGACAAATTTACCAACAATTCCAAAATTATACTCAACAAACTTGCACAATCACTCTTTATCAAACCTCTTTATAAACTTTATCTATCTCTCTTTATCACTTTTTTTTTTCCCTCCAAATGAAGGCACTCTTTCTCTCTACTTAATTTTCTCACTTCAATGACAATGACTATAGACTCTTTATCAGCCGCAATTTCAACCATAGACAACTCATAAAATAACAACATTGTTCAATGAAATAAATTTGAGTTGAATACTCGAGTTATTGCGAAATACAACGTTATTTTTCCCTCTACCACAAGAAATACACACATCAAAATGATAGACCCTTATCAAGAGATAAAAAAGGCACACATAAACGATATGCTCTTATCGAGTGACCTGCTCAAAATTAAGATCTTGTGGAGCAAATTGAACAACTTTACTACTCACCCAAAAATTATTGATGGTTACTATTTGTAACTAGTTAAAATGTCGTTATTTGAGTGATGACATATGAATTTCTCACAAGTAAATTTGAAATCAGGTAAAAAGACAGAAGATGACAATCACTAACAATCATGCTGCTTGATGATTTGAAGATGCCAAATCAATGAAGTAATAAAAACAAACAGATCAATTTTGTTGCTTTTATTGAATCACTCTCTTTTTTATTGCACATAAATATAATAATAGGAGATAAACCACTATGCAATGGTCCTGTGGAAGTCATTGAAAACCAGGTTGGGCCGCTAAGGTCCTCTTTTAAGACATATTTTTGTTTGTACTACAATTACCCCTAAAGAGACCATGATTCGCATTATTGGTGTTCAATTTTGTGTCCACTCATAATTTGCAAATTGATTGGGGGCTAATGGACTTATCTTGATGTGGGGTTCCAATATTCGCTCTTCCTTTTTTTTTTTTTTTTTTTTTCACTTTCTTCTCTCAAATCATTCCATTAAAGTACCAAGTTTTACTTTAAGGTACTTTCAACGCTTTTCGACAAAACGGGGGGTCCATAAAATAATTGTCTACTCATTTCCACTTTTATTTTGAGCCTCTAGAACCGCACTAGCTTTGGTGCTTTTTAGGTGAAAATACGTGGGCAAAGCTTGGATATTTATGATTTTATCAGGTGAGTTGCGTCTAAGCCTAAGTTACCTTTAGTTGTTTTGTTTCTCAGCTCACTCATGAACCAAAAGTTTTGTCACAAGTCATTTTGATTATAGTTTGTCCATCAAATAATGCAAACCAAGGGTAAACGATAATTAGATAATTTTATTATTATTATTTTTAATAATAATTTAAGTTACAGGCTAAGGTGATTTGATATGATCCTAAAATCCATCGATGATATAATCATAAATCAAGTATTTAACATAATAATCGAGTGGAAATCCTACAAGCAACATCCGCCTTTACACAACAAAAAGTAGATATATATTTTTTTCAACAATACTCAACCAAATAATTGAATATATAGTCTTCATGAAGTATTTTGAATATATATATATATATATATATATATATATATGCATCAATGATGGAATATGCATGTATACGTGTGTGTTGTTGGTCATCTGTTTGAAAGAAGGCAAGAGATCTTGGCGAAGAACATTAGTTTATATATTAATAGGTAACAACCCAAAAGTGATCACCAAGGAAAAATATGTGAGACGCTATACAATACAGTATAAATTAAACATGTAGTTAGCCCAGTGTATAATTTTAGCAAAGTATATATCATAAATGGGAAGTCAAGAACTCGAGACTAAAATGTAAGTTCCATTCATTACACTCATTCAAATTTAGAATTTGAATTTTGCTATAATAAAAAGCTTTTATAAACAGTCAAATCTAATTTTTTTACTACAGTCAAAAATTCTCACATAAAATTACATCTCAACTCAAATCAGCGAACTAATCTTAAGAGTTCAATTATAGGGTTTCATGAAATTTTTTAACAAGATTTACCAAAAGGGGACTAAAGAGCATTAAATTTGGTAGCTCTTGCGCTTACCTGAGGAGAGTTAGAGGAGATAGATATATTATTAAAACATGTAATATGAATTTATGAGCGATACGTTTTCAAACATCTCAAGTAAATAAGAGTACGCCTTTGACTAAAATTCTGAGTTCATGAATTTTCACCGTCAGCAAAAGAGATATTGGGAGGAGAGAGAGAGATAGAGATGATGTGGGAGAGAGAGTGATAGTGGGAGGAGAGAGAT